CGTATCGCGAAAATCATGTGACAAATGTAGATTAATTTGCACTGTGCAAAATTAATCTGGCAGATGATACACTATGGATGCCTCGAACACTTTAGTTGTTGACAACGGAACAGGGGTTAAGTCAATGAAATTTACTCTTTCTTAAAAGCTATCGGAAAACTTCAATCTAACATAATGTTTGAAAATAAATCTAAATAGTTTGTAAAAGTTGGATATGCGGGTTCTAATTTTCCCCAACATGTGTTTCCCTCGGTTGTTGGTAGACCAATTCTTCGAGCCGAAGAGAAAGTCGGAGATGTAGAGGTCAAAGATATCATGGTTGGTGACGAAGCAGCCGAACTTCGGTCAATCTTACAGATGTCATATCCAATGGAAAATGGTATAATAAAGATATGGGAAGACATGAAACATTTGTGGGATTATACGTTCAACGAAAAATTGAAAGTGGATCCTAAAGAGTGTAAAGTGCTGTTGACCGAACCACCAATGAATCCGCTTTCCAATAGAAGGGAGATGGTACGGTTGATGTTTGAAGAATACGGATTTCAAGGTGTTTACGTATCTATTCAGGCTGTATTAACCCTGTACGCTCAAGGTGATCAGAAACGGTTATTATTCAAACTAATTTTGACTTGATCAAGATCAATTCTGACCTAAGATTCTTGTGAGTTAGGTCTTCTCACTGGGGTAGTAGTTGATTCTGGTGACGGTGTAACGCACATCGTCCCTATATATGACGGTTTTGCCCTTAATCATCAAATACGCCGACTCAATGTTGCTGGTAGAGATGTAACAAAATATCTCATAAAGTTGCTGTTGTTAAGGGGCTATGCTTTCAACAGAACTGCTGACTTTGAGACTGTGAGACAAATCAAGGAAAAATTTTGTTATGTAAGGTACAACAAGCACTATATTTTATGCTCTATTCTATTTATACCTTTCAACAATTATAGTATTCACTTTCTAGTCTAACCATTCTTTAGCTATGATATTCCATTAGATCAAAAATTGGCAAATGAAACCACTGTACTCGTAGAAAATTATACGGTATTAAACAGACATTTCTTTAAAAAATAATGAATGTTTTATTATCCTTGGAATTTAACACAATTATCGCTCTCAGTTACCCGATGGTAGAGTCATCAAAGTTGGGTCTGAACGATTCGAGGCACCTGAATGTATGTTCCAACCTCACTTGGTAGACGATGAAAAACCGGGTGTTGCAGGTTTGTATGAGTTCAAAAGCTATTCTACAGATAATCAACGTCAAGGCAATTCATTACTTATACGATTATATAATTCAAGAAATGCTTTTCGAAGCCATTCAAGATGCGGCGGTTGATGTCCGCCCCGAATTATATAGACATATCGTCTTATCAGGTGGTTCATCTATGTACCCTGGTCTGCCAAGTCGTCTTGAAAAAGAGCTTAAACAACTTTATCTGGAAAGAGTGGCACAAGGCGATACTTCGAGATTGAAAGTAAGGAGTAGATCTTTACCAAGAGGAGACTTAACAAAAAATACTTATATATTCTACTCTTTTTTTTTGACAGAAATTAAAGATTAAGATTGAAGATCCTCCAGGAAGAAAACATATGGTGTTCCTTGGCGGTGCAGT